CATATATACTTGGCGTGTCATGGCTCTGATATCTCGTTCACGGTGAGGTGGCCCTTACTAATTATGAGTAAGGGCCTCTCAAATAGCCCCTAGGGGTTTGAAAGAATCTTAAAGAGCAATGTGTTTCCCCTTCTCCCCCAACCCCAACCCACCAAATCCCCCTCACCCCTCCACCCCAAAACCGAAGTTTCTCAGCGGATTTGGGCAGTACACAGCAAGCGCAGTACAACCGTAAAGTCGGAAAAAAAAAAATAATCAGCGGAGGACTGTTTTCTGAGTCGACACCCAACTCCCGCACCCCCGACACCTGACCCTAGCCGACCCCCGCACCCCCGACCCCCGCACCCTCGACACCCGGCCCCGCCGACCCCCGGCCCCCGTAAACCCCACCCCCTCCACAGGTGGCAGCCACCCCGAGGGGGGGGGGGGGAGGACCCCTGATTTCTGGAAAAACCAGAAACCGCAGCTCAATGTGATGCTTGGTTGGCCGGTTGGGTAACCCAAACGGCTCCTGCATCAGATCAGCGTACTGGTCCACAACCTGCTGTATCTCAGGAGGACAGGGAGTAGTAGGAGCGTCTGTCTGCTTGACCAAAGCTATGAACAGACGCTCATGGTCATACTGGCGAGGGAGAGCATAAAACTTTCTCGCTCTCAAGCAGAAGCAAGATGTCTTAGGGTGGTGATCAGCTGCAATCATACAAGGCTGATACACCCTCTTGCTGTTTGGCAGCTCAACCTTGGGGATCTGCCAGTCGATCCTTGGGTTGACTACTCTCAGCCACTGCATAGAGAAAACCAGGTCAAAGGGTAGATCAGGGAATATGTAGAAGTTCTGACTATGTCTGACTTCTCCGGCACTGTCGAAGGTTACAGGAATACCCCTGACCTTCTCCCTGATGGTCAGAACGGTGGAGTCACCTATCCTGACATGCAGCGGTTGCTGCAACTGTACCACTTTCATGCCCAGATGCAGTTTTTTGACTGCACTGGGAGACATGAAATTTTGGGTGGCTCCACAGTCCAATAACCCCTTGATCCTGCTATGGTTGATCAGGAGCCAAAGCAGGATGAGATCAGACTTGTTCTTCTTTTGTTCTTTCAGATGAAAGGAAAAAGCAGCAAGAGCCTGACACTCAGACTGGTCCGGTTCCTGATCTGGGTCAGGATCCTCATATGTAAAGGATGCTGCCCGTGCAGCTCCCACATTGGACACCTCAAAGCATTAAGAAAAATCGTGATTGACGAGAAGTTTTGGCGAGTTTACCATCCACTGAGAGGGCGGATCTACATCCCCAATGTCAAAGCTCTCTTGCAAAATGGCCTATCCCAATCCATCTCAAAGCACTAGGTGGGGGTGCCCCTGTGACGAACGCTCCGCGCCCTGAGCATGAGTGCGGGCGGGGCAGAGCCAACTGCGACCCGCAGTGAGGTTGACTCAGGCTCGAAAGTCTAATAGGGTACGGCCCTACACCAGTACCAAACCCTGAAGAGGTAGATGTGTCGGGTACTCGAGGCCGAGCAGAAGAAGACAGTTGGCATTTTTTAGGCCCAGTAGTTGTAGGCTAGGTCTAGGCGGGTCCCAGTCCAACCAGTCTGAGTCTAGGGCTTGTACGGGCAATATCAGAGTCTGAAATGATGTTTCCCTGTAAAAGGGAGGAGGTGCTGGTTGCTTGGAAGGCCGAGCGGCCTGGAAGTCACCCCCCAAGAGGCAAGCAGGCCGCTATATCTCCAGGTCGGGCGAAGAGCCCAGCCTCATTGTCGGTGTGCAAGTTTGGCGACAGACTGGTTGGAATGCTGGCTGGAGCAGCGCTAGCATTCAGCAGCGCTGTTGGGGAAGGAGCAAGGACACAGAGGAGGAAGAAGGCCAGGGCTAGGGAGGAGCGCCAAAAATACTTACCTGGCTATGGTGCCAGCCATCTTCATCACCTTGGTGGGCGCTGCAGTAGGAAGGCCCCAGCTGGGGGTAGAGCTACACCAAGAATCTTTGAGGCAGAGCTAGGCATCGCGGCGTGAGCTAGAGCAGCCATAGGGCCAGGCCCAAGTAGTCCGCCATAGCCTCGGCCTATGAGAGTCAGGAGTGAGGGAGGCGGCCATGGCTATGGTGGACCTCAAGTGATACCTGCAGTAGAAGAGGGATTCGGACTTTGATTCTGGTTCAGCCATTCAACATTGTATTATTATTTCTTGTGTGAATAAGAGAGGAGGAGATAAGGAGGAGGAGAGTGATTGGCAAAAAAGAAGAGCTTTCTCATTTGTCTATGCTGGTGTGCATCATCTTCTTCTTCTTTCTTTCTTTGTCTTCTTCTCCTAACCCTCTCTCTCCTCTCAAGTTCATTCGTTTCCTTTTGCAAGTGGACGACGTTGTACTATCTGATGGATGTGTATCTCGAAATTGGCCAGGATCATAACAGCTAGTTCCTAGAAGAACTCTGGGCACCTAGCACCAAACGAGCTGCACAACGGGTGGTGTCCATGACGACCGATAGACTGCCTGAATCTTGATCAGATCCAGAGATTGCTACCTAGGGAGTTTGCAGTTCACTATGAGAAGGAGATCCAGAAAGTCGCTGAGAACATTTGGAAAGCCTAACATCAAATGGTAGAGCAAGCTAATAAGCACCGTAGACAGTCGAAGTTTGTTGTTGGTGATCTTGTTTGGGTAAAGTCAAAAGAGTTTATTTCGGAGGAGAATATTTCTCAGAAATTTTTACCTGATTACAGAGGGACATGGGAGATCTTTGACGTCATTGGAGACGCAGACGGTCCATCCTACACTAGTGACATTATGTTGCATCTACACACGTACCTAATGTTCCACGCATGAGATGCTGTCCTATGTCACTAATGACCGACACCCAGATCAATGATACCCCTCAATATGGATGGAAGGTATGACATTGACGGTATTCTAGAAAAAGATGTATATAGAACTGGGAGAAGGGGTAGACCACGGCGGCAGTATAAGGTTCGATTCGCTTATCAACAACCAGAAGATGACTGTTGGTACGCAAGAGATGAACTGGTGGAGACTGCACCTCATGTTGTGTCCTACTGTGAGCGTGCTAGGAAAGGTGAAGATTGAATCTTCCTTGGAGGACCTCGAAATTTGGCCAGCGGGAGTGAAAGGATTTCACACAGTCAGTCCCCGAAGTTCCGGTCCCAAGGTCCCGGTTGGTCCCAGTCCCAGGCTGTCCCGGTTGGGTAGGTCGTAGGGTCCATAGGTCGAAGCGTTGTAGGTCGGTAGGTCGTGGTACTGAAACGTCTCAGGTCGGCAGAAGTCTGTCGGTACCTGTAGAGGAAGTCAAGTCCCAAAGACCAAATTTGCAGCAGCGTCCCAAGAAAGTCTGGAGACTTCCGGAACACCAATTTTGGCAAGCAGAGACCATGGGCGACCGGTACTGGTCTGAAGCAGGCAAATACAGTCAACTGCAGCTATATTTAGCTGCTACAGTGCCACGCAAGACCAGTTGTTCATTCGCAAAGTTGCGGAAGCGCTGCTAGTTGCTTGTGAGATAGTTCGACCTGGATAGGGGACAAGTACCGGGGAAGAAGCAAGCGCCCCGGCTACGAGAGTCAACCATAGCTGTAGAAGTAGGGAGGAGGAAGACAGCAGCCATAGCCGCCAAGGTGGAAGTGACACATCACAGCTGTATTCAGGGTAGATCCTAGATGGACTAGAGAGAGAGAGAGAGAGAGAGAGAGAGAGAGAGAGAGAGAGAGAGAGCACNAGAGAGAGAGAGAGAGAGAGAGAGAGAGAGAGAGAGAGAGAGAGAGAGCACCAAGGAAGATTGAGCGACAGAAGTCCTGAGAGAGAGAGAGAGAGAGAGAGAGAGAGAGAGAGAGAGAGAGAGAGAGAGAGAGAGAGAGAGCTTGAGCACCAAGGAAGATTGAGCGACAGAAGTCCAGAGAGAGAGAGAGAGAGAGAGAGAGAAGCCAGGCATCAAGGGGGAGAGAGTTGGGGGTATATCTGTGTTGAGTTGCAGTGACGAGTCGCGGCAGTTGCCGCTGGATACTTGAACTCTCCAATTGTATATTATCGTATCTTCGAGTAGAATTACATCTGGTTCTGATTCATGTGTTATCTCTCGGCTGTGGTGTGAACTCCGAGTTGGTTGGAAATTGCGAGGTTCGTTGCATAGTTAGCAAATAAAGTGTAATACACAAACAATTTGAATGTGTTACTTGCTAACTTTTACCAATTGAATGGAATTTTTTTCCCATCAAGTGGGTATGCACTCCATTTGAATAATTTCTTTTGGATCGTACATCTTACCGAAGCTTCTGCGAAAAAGTTGCAATGATCTTTCTGTTCACCTCGTTGGTTGTGGAAGTCACTATAGTGTAGTATGTAGCCTCTATGTATGGCATTGCTTCTCTGCAATCCGTCCCTCACGTTCATCCTGTGGGTACTTGTATTGTATAATACATTCTTTGAACTTTCTTCCAGATAAGGGGAGCTGTTGAATCGCTTGGAAGAGAGATCCTTGTTGCGCAGGCAGAAGGTAACAAGGCGGCTTCTAAGCGCTTGCTCGATGAGTATGGGGTCCTTACCCCTGCATTGGAGCATGCCTTGGCTGCCTTGAAGAACATAGATGTGAGTTGTCCAATTACTCAACCTTGCGTTTTCCTTGCCTTTAATTGATGCATGCACATCTTCAATGCTTCTCTTTATGTTGGATGGCGTGGACATTGGCACCCAAAAAGAGAAAAAAGAAAAAGAAAGTGTGGCGGCTCTTTTCACATCTCCAATGCAGCTCGTTATTGATGCCTTGCATTCAGTTGCCTTGACTATGGGCCTCGCTCCACTACACAAAAGTCAAAATCTATCTGGAGCTGGCAACTGTCCCAATACATTCAAAATGGTGGGCCACCCTGAAGGTATGCAGGCCAGGTCCAGTCCAGGTACAGACTGCTTCTCCCTCTTCTTCCACCCGGAGTCCTTCTCACTACCTCAATGCACCCAGTACCCATTCCTTCACCGGCAGTCTAGACACAATTTTACTTGCCAAGTCAACCTCTCTACAATGTTGGCCTATCCAGGCTGGCACAATGAAGCTGGGACTCAAAATGACTATATCAATCATCCGCAGCAGCATGGAGTTTTCTTTCTCACTCCTCATGACCGCATTGCATCCCTGAAAATACGGTGACCTTCCCTCTCATCCCCTGAAGCTAGTAGGGTGGACTTCCCTCTCATCCCCTGACCTGCTAGCGGGAGTGCCACCCTCTCTCTATAAGCACCAACAAAATGAAGTCTTGACTGATCAGCGCTGGTCTTCCCTTCTTGCAGTCTTCTTCTTCAGGTAGCTATGGCCGACAGCCAACAGGTGAGCTCCCTACACCTTTTTCTTGCCAACCCTCATGTAATGGTTACCTCCTCCTTTCAATCTTCACGCGTGACCCTCCTCTTGCCAATCTGATGCTGGCTTTTAACCCAGGCAGCTGCATAGACACCTACATTATGTTGCATCTACGCTGAGTGTAAGAACGACGAGGGGAACGTCCTCACCAAACAAGGGGATCACATGACTTTGGCACATGATGGTGATTGATGAACGATATGGATGCTAGACATGGTAATCTAGTGCCATGAATGGCTGTGCCGACAAGAATGCCGTTATCTGATGCCATTGTGTACCCCTGTGAGATTCAGTGGAAACTATGGGTCTCACTCCACTACTCTCGAGTCTTGAAAGCTGTCAGACTTTTGAAATGGGTGGAAAACTGCTCGCTGCTCCACTTCTCGCAAAATGGATTCTCGAATCCATCCGAGAGTAAAGCGAACAGAAGAAGAGCAGGGGAAGTGTGCCTCCCGAAAGTTGGAGAGTCCCCCACCTCCAAAAACTCTACGAGAGCCCTCCACCGCCTCAATATTTTGAGAGTGGACCTCCAGTCAAGGCTGATTCTGACAGCTCTTGAAATGTTTTTTTTTTAGTGCAAGTTGAAAGTTGGTGGATTTGCTGGGTGCCTGCATTTTGTGTTTGTGTTTCTTTTCTTTTAAACCTGACATTATTATTTCATTCATAAAACAAATGAGAGACTGGGCGCGTCACATTGCGAGGACTTTGTTATCACAGTGGCCGCTAGGCCGTGGCCTTCCAATGCCCAAGGGCCCCCCGAAATAAGTACCGTGCTCGCCCTAAGTGAAGGCGGGCCTGTATTCGACATGGGGCCCCAGTGACGCAATTTCTGCATGGTGGCACCAGACAGTTGCCATGCACCAGTTGGTTATAGGAGCCCTGCTCGTAAAAATCAGAACCTTCGAGGAAGCTTCCAGGTTCCTGGAGGCTTGTACGTGGAAGCTGGCCTCTCGGCCTATCCGAAAGCAGGGAACACGTCACAGGCTGCGTAGGGTGGTCGGGCGCATCTCGAAGCTGCGATCCCAGGCAACTGTCTGCTTGGGCCTGGGCGCAGAAACTTTGGTCCAAGATGAAGCTACTGGGCCCCAGCCCACTAGGCCCAGAGGAGGCCGAAGCAGGACGCACTTTCCAAAAGGAAAGTGCTCGCCCCTGCCCAGGTCCATTCTGGGTTGTGCAGGCATTGCGGCCACGCTGCTGCTTTGTCACACGAGCAGGTGATGGCGATCGTGGTCACGGCGCGCATAGTGTCGGAACCCTTGGTTGTCAAATCAAGTCCTGGCCCTTGAGATGGGATATATGATAAGAATGTGCACAACCTAGGAACATGGAAGAAGGGGGCAAGAGAGAATGGAAAGACCGAATGGACAGCAAAAATGGGACCGCCTCGACCAGGGGTCTCAAGATGGGACTCGGGACCGTCGAGACCAAGGGTCCCAAGATGGGACTCAGGACCAGTAGGACAAAGGGACGGAGGAAAAGAGGACCACGGGGGCAGAAGAACTTGGATTAGACTAAGGAAGAGGGTCAATAACGGAATGGGAAATAGTTTGAGAAGATTCCGTGAAAAACTGGGAAAGATGGTTTTTCCTGCACGCCATAAGAAAAGAGGAAAAGGTGGACAAACATGAGCGGAACGACTCCGCTCCAAGAAAGGAACGACCGGAAGGACGTCGCCCGCAACATANAGGAAAAGGTGGACAAACATGAGCGGAACGACTCCGCTCCAAGAAAGGAACGACCGGAAGGACGTCGCCCGCAACATATTAAAAATGCAAGAGCAACGGAGGTCGGTTGCGCAAGGAATTTTTTTTTTGAAGCTAGCGGACAAAATAAAGGAAAAAAATTCTGGGAAAAATAGGGAAAAACGGTTTTTCCAGTAATCACGGGGGACAAGGAAAAGATGGGCAAACATAGGCCGAACGACTCCGTTCCGAGGCAAGAGCGTCCGGGATGATGACGCCCACAACATACTAAAAATGCAAGAGTTACAAAGATCAGATGCCGGAAAATTTAATTTTTGAAGTAAGTAGACGCCATCAAGGTCGTACGGACTCAATAAGCGGCAATGATGGCATCGGCGGCCGCACAACACATGGAGAACGTCCGTGCGGGGATGTGATTACCAAAGTGCTGCAAGGAAATAATAAAGGTGTCCTCCTTCCGGGAAAGAATAGTACGAGGACATTTGTGCCACAAGCAGATGAGCTCGACGACACCAAGGAAAATAGTGCTTCGGTGTTACCACATAAGGACCCGACGTATGGCATAGAGGGTCAACCGAGTGCGGCAGGGGGAAAGCCTAGGGGCGGTGGAACCAGGAAAAGGGTTGCAAGTGGACTACTAAGCACCAGCTAGACAAGTGCCCAAGCACAAGGAACCTGAAAAATGGTGACTGTTATGATCCTGGCCAATTTCTAGATACACATCCATCAGAGAGTACAATGCCATCCAATTGCAGAAAGAAATGAATGAACTTGAGAGGAGAGAGAGGATTAGAAGAAGAAGAAGAAGAAGTAAGAAAGAAGAAGAAGATGATGTACACTAGCATAGACAAATGTCCAGGCTCTTCTTCTTCGCCCAACAACCTCCTCCTCCTTATCTCCCCCTTCTCTCATTCATACAAGAAATAATAATACAATTTTGAAATGGGTGATCCAGAATCAATGTCCGAGTTCCTCTTCTACTGCAGGTATCACTTGAGGTCCACCATAGCCATGGCCGCCTCCCCCACTCTTCACTCTCATAGGCTGCGGCTATGGTGGACTACTAGGCCTTGCCCAGATGCCCAAAGGACAACCCAAAGCAGCTATGGATGCTCTAGCTCAGGCTGCCATGCCCAACCCTGACTTGAAGCTTCTTGGTGTGGCTCTCCCTGGTTGGGGACTCCTTGCTGCAGCGCCCACCAAGGTGATGAAGATGTCTGCCACCATAGCCAGGTAAGTACCCCCAGCGCTCCTCCCCCTTCCTTCCTTCTTCCGCCCTCGTGTCCTTCTTCTTCCTCCCCAGCAGCGCTGCTCCAGCATAGCGCTGCTCCAGCCAGCGCTCCACCAGTGTGTCGCCAAACTTGCACACCGAAAAAGAGGCCGGACTCTCCGGCCGGCCAGAAGATATAGCGGCCTGCTTTGCCTCTTGGGCGGTGACTTCCAGGCCGCTTGGCCTCCCAAGGAACCGGTACCTCCTCCCTTTCAGAGGGAAACATCATTGCAGACTCTGATATTGCCCGTACAGGCCCTAGACCCAGACTGGTTGGACTGATATCCGCCTAGACCTAACCTACAACTACTGGGCCTCTAAAAATGCCACTTTTGTCTTCTTCTGCTCGGCCTCCGGTACCTGCACATCTACCCCTTCCAGGTGCGGTACCGGCCTACCCGCTACTTGAGTGTTTTTCCCCGCTGCAACCCCTCAATGTCACGGCCACAGGTAAGTACCGGCCCTGATGGCCCAACGGACGAGCAAGTGCCCTGACGGGCCACACACATACTCATGCCAACCAGCACTCAGAGAGGCACGGTCACACACACACCCAAGCCAACGAACACTCAGACAGGCATGGTCACACAAACACTCAAGCCATCCAGCACTCAGACAGACATGCAGTCCAGCAAGTGTGCACACACAGACTTAGTAGCAAGCGGGAAACTCAGCAGGGCATTCAGTCTATGGGCAAAACTCAGAAATCAGTTGTGTGTTTCAGTCCATGTATGGACGGGTCATCACACTACTCCCCCCTCAAGAGCGAGGTCCCTTCGAGCGAGTAACTCATTCTGAGTCCTCGACAAACGCATCGTAAGCGAGCAAGGCAAAAAGGTTCCTAGATACTCTGTTGCAGTGAGCCTTGCAGAGATCTTAGGTACAACGTTAGTGGTGATTTGTCGCTCGTATGCTTTGAGAACACTCCGTGCACTGCGTAGCAGTTCCTGTTTGGAAATCGTCTAATGGGTGATACATGTAGTGAACCTGGTACTGTCTGTTGCGTCCCTTCCCTACGTGCTGTTTGATCTTTTCTATCTCATGCCCGCCTTTGATCGCGCGAGGGATCATATCTTCGCGATAATCGAATGTCTTGGCATCACGGTGGAGGTACAGTTTGGATGCGTGGAACACGGGGTATGTGCGCAGATGGGCTGGCACATCAACGACGTGCGAAGGGCCAAAGTGATCTTCACCAATCGCATCCAAAACTTCCCAGGGCCCATAATAGAGAGGGAGAAGTTTGCGTGAGACTCCCTCT